AAACAATGCTACTAACTGTTTGTAAATACTATTTTAATAGTGACAATTATTACGCGCGCCTGTATAGATATATATGACTCATCGGCGCGTAATCAATAGGGTTTTCAAAGGCATTGTCTACTACCCTCACCAAATAAACCGAAAACTGAGACGACTGAGTCGCGTAAACTATCGGCGAACGTCCATCCACAATTGTTACTTTTCCTGATTGAAAACAACAACAAGACAACGAGTCCGCGATGCAGTGGCTAGAGCGTTAGACTTCTAGATAACAGAGCGCGAATTCCAGCTTCACATGTTGCAAAAACCTGGGGTGAGCTACAGCTGGCTGATAACGACTACCAAGTCAAAAGTGGTCATTGCAGTCTCCCATTTATTGGTCGGTAGTGCATTGCTGCCTAGAATACTTGCGTTGACGGGCTGCTAGCGGCAGGGGAAATTGAGCCCTGAGGCAAAGGGGGACGACTAAGTTCCACATCCCGATCGGTGACCGCCGCTCTACCCGAAGAAGAAGAAATTGATCTTGAACAACGAACACCTCTTTATGTGACATTTGCCCCTCTGATAACACTGTATAAGAAGAATTAGTTATTGTAAAAAATAGAAGAAACCTCAGTAGAACCTGCGTATGTTGCAATTCTTGTGCCAGAGCAAGAAGAAGAGGTATAATAGGCTAATTAGTGGTCATTTTTCTTCTTTTCGGGTAGACTAAGATCCGGTGGCTACGGCTAAAAATCAGCTGCACGAGTCGTCAGCACATAACAAATAACAATAACAAACAAAAATGGCATAATGGCGAGGGCTACGATGGCGAGACAGCAGGACTCAAAGTAAACTCATTCGGTTGTTCCAAATACTTTTAATCCCTAGCTATAGCTGTGTTACGTCAGTTGGACAGTATATAATTGTCTGACAGAGTCTCAAATATCGTTCTCATTTTGAGACAGAACAAAGGTAAGCATCTCACAAACGCTTCCTGTGAATTATTTTCTTGACCAACGAGCAGCAATAGGTATGGGTTATGATAGTCAAAAATCGAAGAGATCCGCTCTGTCTTCACAAAACATCATCATTAATTATTCAAAAGTTCAGCTTACCTGTTCGCGCTCCATGATTAATTTAAAGTTTTCTTCTCTTTGCTGCTTCAGTTGATTTTCGCGAAGTTTTCGATTTGCGATAATGGTCTCCTTCTCTTCATGCAGTTGTTTAATTTGTGTTGCCAAGCGTTTCTCCAGCTGCGATCGACGTTCCAGTTGCTCAGCGATTATGTGATTACGCTTCTCTTCCTGCAACATAGGTAATGATCAAACACTTTCTTTATGGCTACCGATGTTTTGTTAGTAGGCTTTTTATATGAATGCGTTGACGATAACGTAAGTCAGAGTTACACTACGAGTTACACTCAGAGATATTTTAAAATAAGAAACTAATTTCAAACCTGGTGTATGTGATGAATCCGCGATGCGTTCAGAAGAACAGCACGACGCCTCTGTTCTCTGGCCTCTTTAGTGCAAAGCTGTTCCCTATATCTCCGCCTTACTTCCTTGATATAACTCGTTGCCATCTGCTCCGGCGGCAAGTCAGTGGTCTTCTCGAATTTGTTTGTTTCAAAGTCAACACAATTCTGGGGTTCGTCTCCCCGAATATTGAGGATTTGGCGTTTGATTTGGTCAGTACGTTGAAGTTTTTCATCAAAGCTATCCAAGTGCTTTAGCACTGCCTAGAAATGAAAATATAATATTTTACCCTAGCAAATAAGGGAGCGGTTGTGGATGGGTCTGTAAAAGACGCCTATATATTTCTTCCACTACTCTTCGTCTACAACGAAGAATTATAAATTCCTATTTCTCCGTGTGTCTGCCAGTTTTAATACCACGCTCAATTTTAACTGACACACATTCGAGAATAACAGAAATTGTTGGCATCGAAATATCCGTCATTGTATAATTTATGATAAATTAGATAAGGTATTTAGACTGTCGTTGTTATTCACTATGAGGAAACCACATCTGATTGTGGCTGGATTCCCGGTTAACTATTCGTTTTGCTTGGCTGAAAACTATTTCCTTCTCTGTTTTTTGTCCTCGATAGTTCCGGTCACCGAAAAGCCCACTTGTTCCGTCGAATACTGGCAGTACGTGGTTTAGTCGGAGGATAACTTCGCGCTTCTGATTCTAAAACATTACTTACGGATGGTTGTAACGTTACCTGTCTTACAGTTTAATTTTAAAAGCATTTCACAGCAATAATGCATACACATATTTTTCTTGTAATGAGTTGGTAATCAATTACGTCTTCTTTAAAAACTATACCCAAACTTGTACCATTTTTCAAATTCCTGCGAAAAATGTCAATTCAACGAAAACATTATGATTAACTTTGCAAATTAAAGACTTTGACTCACATTTGTGTTTGGTTTATCAAGTGGCAATACAAACGGTCTCACTTATCTACCGCACGTGAACGCTTGCCCGGGTGTCTTACAAATTAGACCAGATGAATTTTAGGACGCGTGTAAGTTCATATTCCAATCACTTATGCTTGTTGCAATAATACGATGCATACCACCTATTGATACAATTATAGGAATATATTACTAGAATATACTATTCGCTAGTCTTAGTAAGTACTCTTAGCGGTGGCATATTGCCCCTAGCCGCAGTATCCTAGCCCAAACTTTGTAAAATGTGACAGCTTTTGGTGGACCAAAACCAAGGCTAGCTCTGCTGTGCTCACGGCCCTAAACGTGTATTTACTCTGAATAGTTAAAACTCAGATCCACAACCCTTGTTGAGACCAAGGGGGTATGAGCCCCAGTTTTGGCTTAAACCAGCGTCTGACAAATGGTAGCATCAGGGTTGGTATC